GTTATTTGGGATAAGTAGATGGGCTGTAAATTATGTAATTTTAAATTTTTTATCACAATTGTCTTAAATATTCCAAAAAATTGGTGGTTGCAACAACTCGTCGCAAAGTTGAGATTAAAGATGAAACGAATAGTGATTTGACCGCACCTAGACTATAGCCTGCTATAGTCAGATATCTAACCCAATGCCGTAAACATGTTGCGAAGGCCTACAGCTCAAATCGTTGTGAGTGATTGATTAGTGAATGATTACACTTCCACAGTGACGATTTGATTTGTTGTGGTCACTTGGTTTTTATAAAAACCATTAGTTTAATTGATAATACAAACAAATACATAACTGTGAAATGATAACAGTGAAAAAAACTGCAAATTTGGTCATATTTTAATATCAGTGCCGTTTGTTTGTTGTACTGAATGCTAATTTCTTGCGGCGGAGAAGGAAAAAAAGCAATTACATCATTCTTCAGCTATATTAAAATTTCTAGTTAATATAAATATAAGCACTTGATACGCAAGTTATTATTTTGTTTCAATTTGATTTCATTAATTTGTTGTAAAGAAAAATTTTAATCTACTTTCATTATTGTACGTACACATTGTATTAGAAGACAGTTCAAATATTGTGATCCTTCCATTCGGTTGTCTGGCAATAACATGTAGTACTTAAAACTTAACAAAGTTTGCAAGAGAATATAATGAAAAACTGTCATCCGAAGCTGGTCTTGTGTATGAAAATAAATAGAACCGACTTTTACCACTTAATGCAGAAAAATTGGCCTTCATCCACCATAATTTGCTTTTATTGAAATTTTACTACTAAATTTACAGGTAATGTTATCTAACTTTATAGTTCTTTCAGTTACAAGTAATAAACAAATTGTCAACGATCCTGTAGTTGCTGTTTATTCTATTACTGTCATCTTTAATCAGTAAACCAGTTTATTTAGCGTACTTATTATGAATTTATCTTAGTTTTAAACATCCGGTATTCGGCCGGATGTTGTTCTGCTATCCGGTATCCGCACGGTGTTTCGTGTAGAACAAGCTAGCTGGACAATATTGACATTAACATTTCCCAGAAAGGTTGATTACGGTAAGTAGGATATTAGTTGCTAATCACATCGGTAAGTATGATTTTTGCACTAATGACATAGATCATTAGTAATAAGCATATGTATATAAGATAACTAGAAAAAAAGCATAAAATTGGATGCATTTTTGCTCTTGATATGACAACGTCTCCCGAGTTGATTTTAAAAGTTGTGTTTATTTAAAGTGATGGATTCAGTAACCAAGGGTAAGTGTTATTTTTTAGTACCATTATATTCGAAAAGCAATAAGGCATTTAATAGGAAATGTCTCGCAAAGTTGTTAAAGTAACTTTTTTTTTACATTTTTCAAATTCAAAAGACTAAAAGTAAAAATCCCCTCTTCTCCCTGGATCGATATTTTTTCCTGTGATAGGTACAGTCTTCTAGTTTGTTATTCAAGTGGAATTTCTTGCTCGAAAAGTGCCCTTTTTTTATTATCTTTTTTTTGCAGAAAGCAGTTTCACTGTCTCAAAGAGGGACTTTTTTGAAGAATGGGCGAAACACTCAAAAAATGAGCGTAACCAAGCTATGTATCATCATATATGCTTACTACATGATCTGAGTGGTATCACAGACCAGTCTGTGAGAATGATAAAGGAGACAATTTCGCGTTTTTCCTCAAAATTATTGGAAAAATGGGAGAGTTCCAGAAGAATAAAAGACCGCTTTAGCTACTTATGCAGAGTGGCTAGAGGGCGAAGATATACATTTTGATGTGTCGCAAGATATGGTGGGGGCATCCACTTCTTCCCAATTGCCACCTGGTGTGGGAAAACCATTGGCAGACGTGACAAACGCAAGTGCCAAAACAAAAAGACGCCGTGTTGACGATTTGATCAAGAGTAGAAGTTCTGAAGACCTAACAGCGGCTGCTGAAATTTCTTCTCGGTTATCGGGAAAGAGGAACGTAGCCAAATTAATCAAAGGAGTCAGTGAAAGCCCAGAAAAGTTCATTGATTTTCAAAAGTGTAGTGAACAACATAAGCAACAAAGGTCTTTGACAAGCGAGGAGGCTCTGGCGTACTATGTGGACTCCAAATCCACAAGTCATACCTACAAACAGACACGGAAGTGGAGTATGCTAGCTGGGCATCAGGTATTTTCATCATTTTATAGTCTTAGAAAAGCCAAATAAGCCTGTTTACCACCAAATGAACTAGTGACAATAACTGAAACGCGAGCCGAAATTCAGCTGCAAGCCTTATTAGATAAGACTGCTCAGCGGTTAATATCAGCCCAACGTGAGGTTATTGACACTTGTTCTTCTGATGGTGACTTATCATTCACTTTAGTTAGCAAGTGGGGTTGTGACGGAAGTTCTGGTCACAGCATGTACAAACAAAAATTCGCCAATATAGATGATACAGATGAATTTCTGTTTGTTTATTCACTTGTACCTATACAATTACAAGATCAAAGTGGTAACATTTTTTGGCAGAACCCTCGTCCATCGTCCACTATGTATTGTCGTCCAATAAAGTTTATGTTCATCAAAGAAACCAAAGAATTAACCGTGTCCGAGACAAATAAAGTACTGGAAGACATAAATGAACTATTGCCAACAATATGTAGTGTCCATGATGGTCTTGAAATTTCCGTCAAGCATTCACTACTTTTGACGATGATTGACAGTAAAGTATGCAACGCTTTGACCGAAACTTCGTCAGCACAAAAATGTTATATTTGTGGAGCTACCCCAAAACAAATGAATGATGAGTCCAAGGAGTTCGTGGCTAACAAAGACAACCTGGGTTTTGGTTTATCGACATTGCATGCTTGGATTCGTTGTTTCGAATGTTTACTTCACATAAGCTATCGTATTGATGTAAAAAAATGGCAATTACGAGACGCAAATGATAAAGCTCTTGTGAAACAACGTTCTGCAGCGATTCAAGTACGTTTTAAAGAAGAAATGGGCTTAAATGTAGATAAGCCAAAGCCGGGGTTTGGCAATACTAATGATGGGAATACTGCTCGTAGGTTTTTTGCAAATCCTGAGTTAAGTGCTGAAATTACAGGATTAGATGTGATTTTGATAAAGAATTTCGATATTTTGCTAAGGACACTTTCTTCCGGATATGACATAAATTTAGAAAAATTTCAACATCTAGCACAAGAGACAAGAAATCTCTATTTGAGTCTGTATTCGTGGTATTACATGCCTGCAACTGTACATAAAATACTTGTATATAGTGTAGAAATAATTCAATCGGCTCTTTTGCCAATCGGGCAGCTTTCTGAAGAAGCTCAGGAAGCTCGAAATAAAGATTGCAGAAGATTTCGAGCGGATAACACACGAAAATATTCTCGTATAGCCACGAACACAGACTTACTTAATATGTTAATAATTACATCTGATCCTGTGATTAACAGCCTCAGAGATATTACGCAAAAGAAGTCAGGTTCTCTTCCTCCCGGAGTCTTAGACTTAATTATTTCAAGTCTTCCTAAAAGATTAGCTTCTGTTGAATCTAGCACTAGTCACACAGATTATTGTGTTGAAGATTCTTCTGAGGACGAGCTCAGCGATGACGAATGAGCTTATTTTCAGAATATAATTAAGAAATGTTCAAATAATAGATAAGTTGTTTGTAATATATTAGTTAATTAGTTATAATTTAGTAAGTCATTTGGTTAATTATGTACACATTGTGCTAATTTATATTTATTGTGAGATAATCTATTGGTTATAATAACTTTGTGTTTTTTTCTATTTATTTCTTAAATAAAATATTATGTTCCTTCTAATACGCATTTCAATGTCTAAAGTACCTGTTTTAGTAGATTCTGGAGATTTTTAACAGTAGAAATGTTGATAGTTGCACTTAGCAGAGGCATTCGAAACGAATTGCAACCGAAAATAATTTTGTCCAGCTAGCTTGTTCTACACGAAACAGAGTGATCCGGTCGGATAGTAAAGATAGGCCGGATGGTTTCAGCTCATCATTATAATGACATTCTATGTGATTATATACAGGTTATCTATTTATAGAAAAATATGTTTTTAAGCGATAACTTTTTGTGAACCGATTTTGATGATTCTTTTTTTATTGGAAAGATGGTACCTCTGTACTAGACCCATTTCAATTCGAGGAAAATATTCCACCTCTAAGGGTGGCAAACTAGGGGGTGAATGAGTTTTGAGGTCGGGTTTTTTTGTACCATGTACTGATTATGTTTATTTTATACTTAACTGCTTCCGAGGCCGTTCGATTCCCGGGCCGGGAGAAATATTTGTATGGCCTACATTTATTTCTCTCGTGAGTTTGGGTGTAATTTGTGGTTGTCTATGTGTGTGTCCATGACATCCGCGACACAGGGTTGTGCGGGGCTATGTTGAGTGTGTTCGCTATTTATTATATAATTTTATGATCTTATTACAAAAAAATTAAAATGTAAAGCTACTTACATATTACTCGAGAAAGTCAAAAGTTACTAAGAATTCAAAAAAATGTAACCATTTGGCAACACTGATACAGTGTTTTCTTTCCACCATCGAGTAAGATTTTCCCTTTTTTTTTTTCAGAAACTGCAATGCAAGTAATATAATCCTTTTAAAAAGGCTTCCAATTTTTTGAAGATAAATAAAAAAGATATTAAATTAATCAGGGTTTATTTTATGATGACGCTTTGAAAAGCACTTTATTTCTCTGAAAATAAGAATTAATTTTACTTGACTTACCGTACATTACATGTCGAATTCACTAAAGCTACTATCAAAATATTAAGAAAATCTCAATAGGAAGAAATAAAGAAAAAAATCATGCCATAAAGAAGTAAAAATGTTGACCATGAACAAAAACAGCGAAAACACTACGAAATTTATGATATCACTCGAGGACATTGATTTAGGTTTACTCCAAAAATGTTATCCCTGTGTGGAAAATGGCAACACTCAACCGATATGGGATATCAACACTTTAAAAAAGAGAAATGACGATATTTATTGCGAAATTGAAATTTATACTAATGACATTGGACGGCAAAATGGTAAGTTTATTTGATGTACTCCCGAAATCTGTTTTAATGGGTTGGATAAGATACCCTACATCTTGGCCTTTAGATTTAGATTTATTTATTATCTTGAAAACTTTACATTATTATATACAATATATAGAATTACGAGGAATCCTTACAACTAGCAATAAATGTTACATTCATCAAAAAAATACAAATATCGAGTACAAGTTTTGTACTATGTAATTTTAACATAGTTAATGTAGTTATGTGAAATAATGTAGGAACATATTAAATATTATAATAATAATTTTAGCAGCAGTAGAGCTCCTTGTGAAAGAGTTCGTCCAGGAAAGTACTGCCACCTAACCTATTTCTGCCGCCAAGCAGTAATGTCAGCATTACTGTTTTCCGGTTTTGAAGGGTTAAGGGTGCTGGTGAAATTACAGGCACATGGGACTTGTCAACTTACGTCTCAGGGTGACGGGCGCAGTGGCAGTGCCACTCAGATCCTTGCGATTTAAAGCTCTGAGTGGCACTGCAACTGTTACGGACAGGCGTGTAGCTTACCGTCAGGCGCACGACTTGTTCGTCCCGTCACTTGATATTATAAAAAAATAAATTACAAGATCATGTCCCTATATTCTTTAATGGAACGCATTATCCCACAAAAAGTCTTTCACTCGACGATCAAATGTTTCATCATTAGGCTCGTTTTTTAAGGCTCTATTTACGTCACCGAGGCACCAAAGATGAGCAGAGCTCTGCTGCACTAAAAATTGTTTTGATATTTCAGATACCGAAGAAAAGAGATGTGAAGAAATTTCAAAAAACAATCGAGAAGAGAATATGGACCTAACAACATATGTTAAAATAATAACCAATCTACATAATGATCACAAACATCAAATTAAAGTTGTGAATGAAGATTGTTTGGAAATTGTTACTCTCAGTGGCCATACAGTGGAAGTGTCTGTTGACAATTTCCACGGATATTTTAAGGTGATCAATCGAGATTTATGATGGGTAGTAAACGTGTATGACCGATGTTTTCCTCGTGACGCTAAAGCCCTTTTCCCACAAATGCGTAATTCCTTGAACTCTCGTTGGCAATCTTGTCGCCGAACTGTAGGTAAAGATTATGGTAAAATTCCACCTGAAATTCCCATTAAACCTTGGTTCTTCACTAGGAAATCCATTCCGAAAAATATCACCTCTGCAATTATTCGCCTTCGTTTAGCTCACATATGTACTCCTGTGTTCTTGGCCAAGATTCGTGTTCGAGATCACCCCCTATGCGAGCGCGGTTTGGCAGAGGGTACCATTGAGCACCTGTTTTTTTTACCGTAGTCGTATCGTCACTCCTCTGTATGATATCCTCCCCTCTAAAATTCCCCGTCCCGTCAATATCAACTTCCTCTTAACGTTAGTTCCCTCTCCCTTTGTCTATGTTGTGTACGTTTATTAAAAAAACAATTTGTTTCTGTAGTCTCTGTATGTACTCTGTTGTAGATTCTCTTCTCATTTAATTCTTTCGGAATTTACCGGTCAATCTTTGAGTTAAAAACGCGTGCGTTCCTTAACTTGGCTTGGTTTACCGATATGGTATCGATGGGGTTGTAACATTATAAAGTGGAAATCGATGTTTTACTAAACTACCGCACATAGTCATTTTTACTTGACATTGGCGAAATCATCGTTTATTCCGAGAACCTTTCGACAACTCTGTTGTCGTAAGATTTCTTCTCATTTTTATTCACAACACCCGAATCGAACGTCAAACTGTCGTTTTCGAAACCGAACCGAAATGACGTCACTCCCGTACGATTACTCGAGCTTCTCGACCGGCAAAGGCTACAAATATTATTCAGAACACAGTTATCGAATGAAAGTTACCTAACGTCCTATTGTTTACAAAGCAATAATGTAATATTGAAATCTCTTATTATTTTAAATCAAGTCTGAATTTTGTTAAATTTTATTTATTTAATTTAATGCAAGACTAATGCATTCGTATATTTTAGGCCTTTAAAGTCATTGACTTACAATTATATGGACGTCGGGTCCGCGCTAAAAAGTGTCCGCACTTGTAAGGCGCTAAAATCGTATACAGAGCGCGACAGTCTTCATTTGTTCTACTGACAGCGCGATACTGCGATGACATTACAATTTAAATTTCGAATAGGTTGACTAGGGACATTTTTTTTGTGGTTTTTGTATTAGACCCGTCGTCCATTTATTTGTAAGTCAATGTTTAAAGTCTTAAAAATGTATATAAACCGATTTTAATTTTTCTTATAATCTATTTCACCGTTCCGTGGCTTAGTTCAATTTTTTATTATTAGGTATAACAAAAAATGTAGTGATTAGATCGCAATTACCGAGGATTATAGCTAAAACCCCTTCCTTAGAGGAGACCTGTATGTAGTAGTGGGACGTACTATGGATTGATTACTTAGCCTTTTTGTACAACATTGATGAAGATATAGTGATATTATACTTCTCAATCGTATAGCAAGAAGCCCCTTGTTGGGCGCCAAAATTGTTTTTGGCGTCGAGTTTAAATAGAAAATCACATTTTGTATTGAACATGTGAATGTTATTAATTGTTATTATTATTATTATTATTGTTACCCACTTACTCCGTAAACGCTGTTGGATAACGATGAAATATCCGAATCGAGTGTTTAACTGAATAGCTCGGAAAGCGACCTTCGGGGTCGAAATTGGAATCGATCTCATCGGGTATTCTCGAAATCAGATGGGTTTCTGAGCGAGAAGATGCACCTGATTCCTAATATATCTTTCTAATTTGTGAGTTAATTTAACTATTGTTCATTGGCCAGTTCTGAATCGCAATTATGGTGACCGACAGGATGGCTGGGCGCCTGTCGCATCTGGCACTGAATGTATATTCAAGAATTGCTAGCTATTTACTACCTTTTCCAAATAATTGCTACCTTTGATATATTCTGAGAAATTAAAAAAATAATTGACCATCCATTCTGACGTCAGGATGGGTTACCACTTTGTTCAGCACGAAAGGAGCAGATTTTCCAGAAGTATGTATTACCATTAATTGCTACCTATTTGCTGCTTACACGAATTAAAGATATACGCTTTCTATATACATTAGTTAAAAAAATATAAACGATTGAACATTTTACGAAGTGCCAACGCCTGCCCTTTGCATTATGGCACAAATGCAAAGGGCAGGCGTTGGCGTTGCAAAATAAAAACTTTTGTATTTTTAATTTAATCAGGCACTTCTTCGTAAAATTTTCAATTGGTTATATTTTTTAAATTAATGTAGATAAGAAGCGTATACCTTTAATTCTTGAATATACAGATGCGACAGGCGACCAGCTATCCTGACGGTCACCAATTATGCGCCTCGACTCTGAAAAGAAGCAAAATTTTTGTATACAAACGTTTTACGCGGTCGCTAGCGATAACTGTCTCTGTGATCTCATGGTAGAGAGATGAGAGATGCTTCGATGGTTTGGTCATGTAGAAAGAATTATTGTTGTTTAATTAAATTCGACCAACTTCTGCTGTCTCGGTTTTTGCGTCTCATACAATGAAATTAAACTTCATAAAACTGAGTCAATCAGCACTCACGCACACACTCAACATAGCCCCGCACTAGGGAAAGCCTGTGTCGCGGGTGCCATGGACACTCACGTAGACAACCACAAATGACACCTAAACTCATGAGAGAAATAAATGTAGGCCATACAAATATTTCTCCTGGCCCGGGTATCGAACCCGGGACCTCTGCGTGGCAAGTCCGGGAAGGGAACTGTTCGGCCACAGAGGTACTTAACGGCAGCAATATAGTACGTTCGCGTTAAGAATGCAGTGAGTCATCAGTCATGAAGTTGTTTTCACAGTGAAGTTAAAATTTAAACAAATTATATTTTAAAAGATTAAGGTTCCATTAGCCTAAAAATAAACTTAATGGTCTTAAATTAAAATAAAGTTAATAATAATGAATATATTTCAAACAGTATCAGTAGAATCTTAACAACTAGTCACTGTGAACTTGACTTTCTAATTTTGAGCGACGTGATTGGTAGGACGATGATTCACTGCATTCTTAACGCGAAAGTACTACAAAAAAAAATTATGAACAACTCACGCTTGGTCAAAAAATCTACTATGCCAAAATTGTTTTCACAAAAAAGACTTCATGTTTTCTAAGACACTTTCCTTGTATCTTACTACAAAAATTTCTAAATAAAATTTCATCCTATATATTTTACAGATCGGAGAGCATATCCAATGCAGAGTGTGCAGGGTGATGGTGGAAGACGTGGAAGTCCATAAACTTACCATGAAACATATGAGATTGATTATGGGTACTCTTCAGGACCAGCACTGCGTCCGGAAGGTAGGTTGACTAGAAAGAGGCTATTTAGTATTGGAAATAAAACTGTAGGATACATACATTCAAGAGACTACACTCGTTCGCATACCAAAACAATTTATAATTTAAACATCGTTATTCTCAACTGATCCCCTACACTGCCCTCGGAACGTAAAAAGTCACAACTGCTGTATAAAGAACGCACAGTTGCGCCTTTTTTCGCACAGTCAATTTTCAATGCGGACTGATCCCGTCTATGTTTTGCAACTCCCAACGGATAGCCTTATTGTATTTGTAAAGGAAGTACAGTTAAGAGAAAAAGTTTTAAAATGAAATATTGCTAAACTCTAATAAATACTACTAATGAATACTGAAATTATTACACAAATACAATTTTTTCTCTTACACATATCATTCTGTGATTAAAAACTTGCACGGCGCGTGTGGTGCGAACTGGAGTCTCCGCCATCTTGCGGTACGAAACGCGGGAGGCATCGAGTATATAACCAGAAATAGAGACGAAATGTCATTTAAATTGTTTGAATACTATTCTGCCATATCATTACTGCGGCAACTGCGCTCCGATTGGCTAGCCCGAGTTCGAAACAATTGACGGGTGTCGTCAATGGGTGTCGTCCACTTCAAATCGACCAGTAGACTTGAGCTTTGCTACAATGGACGAAAATTGCAAAATTACATATTTAATATTTAATTACCGATTAAATGTGATTCCGTTTGTTTTGTAATAGGATGTTTTGCTGTTTTTCCCACACCACTGAGTAGAACAGCACGGCATTGTTAGAGATATTATCTTTATTTCAATAAATACAGAATATTTTTTGGAATATACGGAAACGTACACACAGGTCAGTAGCTGTCCTGTCTATATTTCAATGCAAACGGGAGTTGATATTTATAAGTGCTGTATCGCTAATGTGTTACCAGGAATATGTGGCCCTTATGTCGTCTCTATTTCTGATTATATACTCGATGGCGGGAGGCGAGGAGGCGGTGGTGTACGGCCTTTTATTTTTTTCCATCCTCTAAGTGTACGGCCAGCGCCGACAGAAGCCAAGCGCGGCCAAATTTTGCTCCCTTCGAGTGCGGGTTATTACGGCGTTATAATAATCATTTATTGAGCAATCGAGATCAAATGTTATAATTATCACAGACAATCAAATTATAGATGATATTATCACTAGTATCAGGTTTCTTACCACGGTATGACTTCTTTTTATGACTTCTTTCTTTTTTTGAGTCAACCCGTGACCATGGAGCGTGCAACCGTTCCGAAATATCGGGAAAATAAAAAGAAGTCATACCGTGGTAAGAAACCTGATACTAGTGATAATCATTTAGGGAATAACCACGAAAGTCTTAAAATCTATATAATCAAATTATAAGTATAGTCCCATGGGACTTATCAACTTATGTCTCAGGGTGCCAGGCGCAGTGGCGGTGCCCATCAGATCTTTGTGTATTAAAGTTCTGAGTGGCACAGCAACTGATATGGACAGGCGTGTCGCTTACCATCGACCTACGACTTGTCCGTCCCGTCACTTTGTCACAATGAATACAAAGAATTCGGTTTATTGAACTCAAAAATTTTCCAGTAACCGATTTCTATAAAACTTGGTAAACAGAATATAAACTAACTTTTGGGAACAGAGAAATGCGTGAGGTCCTCTGGTTCGTTACATGGCTTATTTGGGATAGCGTCTGGCACGGTTTGCTAGAAGACGTCGGTTCGTATCCGGCCGGATCGAATTTTTTCTGAGTGTTCGATCTTTGTATCAACAATTATAAAAAACTAGTGGAGTAATTTCACAAAAAATAATTGAATATCAATTCAATAAAAATTTAAAAGTTATAATTATTAA